CCCCAAGGCAGGCATTGAGGCATTCATTTAAACAGAAGCTGGATGTAAAAAGCGACGAAGCCACCAAATCGTAAAAGGGCAGAAAATGGAAAGGGTTAAATGCACGTATATAATCTGCATTGATCCAGAAATGTGCCTATATGTACATACTATGTATATTTTAACACCAACAACTTTTAATTCATTGTTTATTATGAGTGAGCAAGTCAGTCACATTGGCACATTTATTTTAATTTAATCCATCCATCTGAAAAGTATTCTGTATTATAAACAAACAAAACGATACACAATTTGGTTCCATGTTATCATCAAATTATAAACAGAATTCAGAAAAATAAAGTACTACCCATCTGTCTATTGATCAGTGTGACTTTCTTTTCTAGTTTATCGGCTGAGCTGCCGACCTTATTGATGAAACTATCAATGTTTCGCTGCCCCTTTTAAAACTGTTAAGTATTTAGAGAACTTGAAGGTATTTAACTGTTTTGTCACATTTGGAAAACACTCTTTGATTTTTCCCACTCCCAGTTCCAGAACTTCTTTAATTTCGTCTAAAGCTGAAGCTGCCAAAAAGCCAGAAATATGACCAATCGGTCACACTGGTGCCCTTGATCGAATGGAGAGTTGCGTGCGGGCCGTTCTGTCTGTGTTTTTGCTTTTGTTTGCGTTTGTTTGTTTGTGAGTTGCTGTTACGCTTATCTTAACTGACCTGCAAATAGTTTTGTTTGTAAAGAGCATTTAACGCCCACGCGACAAGCCTCAAGTACAACACGAAATGGGCACAAACGGACGCACACACACACACAACTGTACACATGATGGCTTGGGCAAGATGACTGAGACCCACTGTGGGTGCTGCTGTTGTTGTTGTTGCTGCTGCTGCTGCAGGCGACTTTGATAAATTCCACACACACACAGAAAGCGCAGAGCACACATTTGAATAATGAAGCGGGCTTGGCACTGCCAGCGGCTTGTGGCTGCAAACTGGCAATAGGCAACAGGCAATAAGCAACAGGCTGCAGGCTGCAGGCAACTGGCGTCTGTTGGGGGCATCAATCTGTCAACGCTGGCGTTGCATGCGCGTGCGCACAGTTTGAGTTCGATGGGTATTGTGCCACTGCCACTGCCACCGCCACTGCGCACTGTAAGGCGCGTCGGCGCGGTAAAAGCGTTTCTTGAACAGTTAAATCGCGTGCGCGAGTACCGCCAGCATACCGCCGAGGCTCACGCTGGAGCTCAAGCTGAAGCTGAAGCTGGAGCTGCATGGCGTACCTTTGTCGTCGGCTTTGTCGTCATCAGCCTTGTGGCGTGGGTCGCATGCCGCGGCAGCGCGCGTCTATCAATTAAGCAAAAAGGCTGCAACAACGTTGGCGACCACGCGCACAAAACATCAAATGCAAGGCCGGCTCGGGGTTAAGCGATGCACGATTAGGCATATCCGTGTTTTCCTGCTCAGTACTCTCAAAAGTGCGTTTTGTGACGTCACTAAGCAATAGTGTAAAGTCGTTTTAATTAAAAGAGAAGGATTTCAAAGCTGCAAAAAATGCCAAAAGCCATTTATGAGATTCCAAGGTTGAACATCTGTGGCCCATAAATGAATCGACTTACATACATATATACATCTCAATACTTTGAAGGTTATATTTTGCAGTTCGGCATTCATTACTTATTGTTCTATATAAGACGAAGCCACAAGATGGATTCCTGACTAATTGGAGACGTTTATTATTGTGAATTCGTAGAAACCCCGAAATGTTTTGTAAAAGTAAAATACACCTATCAACCTTAGTGGTTATATTATTTACAAATTAACAGGATTCTTCTGATATGCTGTTTGTTTTTCTATATACAAGATTGTATATAGAAAGCAGGCGCCGATAATTAAGTAACGAGAGCAGTGAAGGCACTGCAGGATTCTTTTTTTAAAGCTAGATTCCATTTAAAGAGATAATTCAACTATACATAACTGATGCATAACTGATTTCACTCTTTGGGGAGAACTTGGAAGTGGCTCACCTATTTACATAACATTGTTTCTGTGTCTACTCGTTTCGTTGCCGTCGGCCACCCAAAACGTTTTGCTCCAGTTGTGCCCGACTTGGCTGCTTTATCTTTGCGCCCGCTTTGCTACTCTTCCGCTGTCAACGTAGTCGGGCAGGCCGTTTGTGTTTTGTTTGATAGCCGCGTGCTACCAGAGGAGTGAGGAAGGGGGTGCATACGCGGCTTTCGTGCAGGATCGGTCTGTCTGTCTACCAAACTGGCTGTATGTTTGTCTCGCTGTCGGTGTAGCCGACATGGCGCATTATTTAACGACACAATTCGTGCGACTCCCACGCGTGTGCTGTGCCACCCAAAGCCCTACCCCTCTTCCGGGCCCACAATTGCTGCTCACATGCAAACTGAAAGCGAAAAATTGCGCTTAACTGATGCCCCAGCGACCGAAATTGGCGCAAAAATGTCACCAACTTGCCACTCGAGACCGGGACTGGGACTGGAACTGAGACTGAGACTGACTTGACTGCAACTCCAACTCTGAATACACTCAATCGATCATCGCAGCGAAATGTCAAATTTGTCGCTGGTTTTTGTCCGCCCGGCCCGGCCTGGCCCGGCCCGGATCGACCTGACTACGTTTATCAGCTGCTAGGCGGCTTTAATGTCAGTTTAGCAATTTGACAAATGACTTGCGATAAGAATAAGTTGCACAAAATGTTGAAAGCTGCGCAATGAAGTTGCCAATTGGCAATTGACTCGAAACGAAACGAAATGAATCGACTTGACTCGACTCGACTCGACACCACTCCACTCCACTCCGATCCACTCCACTCGACTGGGCCCAAAGTACATTGAACTCGAACTCCATGGGAGTCAGTTGGCTAAGTAAGCCATGTGAGCCTTATGAGCCACGTTAGGCCTCAGTCAGCCGGCTACCTGAACGCTCTAAGCAGTCGTCGTCTTATCGGCTGCTCCTAATCAGCGATAAAAATGTTTTGCCACATGTAAAACCACATGTTAGTGAAACCCAAATACTTGTATATACTATACTTATATGTATATGTACATAAATCGTACATACATATGTATGTATTTTTATATGTGTGGCTCAGGCCCAACAAAATCGAACTTATCAAGGCGGACAGTCATAAATGGTGCCGCCGAGATCTGCCGTGAAGTTGCAGTTGCGAAGAAATATCGCGTTTCAACGGCAGCCCCAACAACTGCCACAAATTACACGCTTCGCAGCGACAACAAGCATTAATAATTGGCTAAATAAACGCAAAATCAAATGCTCAGGCAAATGTTATCAATATTGAAATGCTTGCCACGCCCGCGCAGCCTTTTTATTTAATAGCTGCGATTTGACAAATACATAAATGCGCAAACGCATTGGGCCGGCCGAGGATTCCGGGAGGGTTGGGGTTGCAGTTGGCCTAGTATTGAGGGGGAGGGGGAGGGAGAGGGAAGAGGAGGAGGGGCTGGGGCTGGGCATTGGGCACGCACGCATTCGCCTCGAGGATGACAAATTGCGCAAATCCATGAGATAGTTTTTGTAGGCGCATGCGACTAACAGGCCAACATAGCCAAAGACCATAAGCAACCAAACGACAGAAGACAGACGATGATTGCATAATGTTGTGCGCGGCTTAGATTTGTATCTTTTGCATGCGCCAACAAGTCAACAGGCCAACAAGTCGTACGCCTCGCCATGTTGTTATAGTTGGAGTTGTAGTTGCTGTACGTGTATTTGTTGTTGTTGCTGTTGTTGTTGTTGTTGACTCAAAACGCTGTCAAAATGCTAAAAATGATTCGTGCGATAAGGCCCGGAACACAAACAAACAGTGCGATAGAGCCAGACAGATTGAGGGAGAGAGGAGGAGCGACAGAGAGGGAGACACACACACAGAGTTGGCCCAAGCTGTGGGCTAGGCCTGCCTTCTAGCCATTGGTCAGCAGCAGAGATGGTCGCGTTATTACATTTTTTATCAGCATAGTCACGATCACGAGCTCATCGCGAAGCTGCCAAGAATTGGATGGAAACAAGTGATGATGTTAACAATCTCTTAGAAATCTCCAAATTATTTTCAGGAGATTTCCGAACATCGAGAAGATGAAAGATTATTCCAGTTCGAAAGAGGCCTCTGGCCATAGACTAAAAGGCGGATAGTTTCTTCATTAAAATATTTAAAAAAAATAATAATCATAAAACACCTTGAGAGGAATATGTTTCTGTAGTTCTATATAATATATAAATGTATTCCATCATTTCAGTTCTTTCTCATTGATATTTATTGATGGATGTGATATCACTTCTCTCCCCTTTATTTTGCTAATAATTATACTTTTAACTAGGTTGTAAGGAGCGCTGTAAATTACATTAATTAATTGCTTTAACTGAGAACTCCAGCAAAATGGAATCGATGTTTGTTTTCATGCGGCTAAGATGTTAGCTTGTCACAAATTTTTTATTCCTAAATTGTTATTGTAAGCCATTAATAAGTTGGCAGTTTCTGTGCATCGATGGTTAGAGAAACACGTGCCAGGACCACCGCTAGCATCGCTGGCAGCCACCGAACTGTGACTGCTGCGACTTCAGAAACATTTAATAAACATTTTTGCACCATTTTTCAGTCGCTTGGTCGTCGCTTGTTGCGCCGCTACTGTTAATTACCATCATTAGCTGTTCATCTGCAGTTGGCAGTGCCCGCCGCGGCTGGCTTATCAATTTATCAATGCTGGCTGGTTGGCTGTCTGGTCCGGTAGTTGGCTGGCCAAGACGCGCAATTAGTTTGCCTAAACGTCTAATTAAGTTGCGCCAGATACAAATCCAAGCCAAATACAAGCCGCTGCTGATCGATGATTGAGCGTTGCGTGTGGTGTCGGTGTGGCAACTGGTTTGCTTAGCACTCTGGCTGATCTGGTGACGATTTAAATGCTTTGGCGAAGTGCTAGGCAAATTGGCAGCACGACCTATCATCAATCAGCAGCACTTCGGTTAGCTATTTGTCAGGAAAACCCCAGAGTCTTTTGTTTATTAAGATAATGTGTTGGAGAATATGCAAGTGTGAATAATAAATATACATAGAATGTACATAACAATACTTAACAATAGAATGAACCGTATAAGCGGCATAACCTGTAATCTCAGCCCAAGGAATATAGGCGAGTCGCAAAGCCATCCGTCGTCGTAGTCGTCGTCGTCGTCGTCGCTCCTGTTGCGCCTCCTGATCCAGCTCCTGTCCCAGTAATGGTGGCCATCGCTTCTGCCCGCCTCTCTCGCTCGCATTGCACCTCACGAAACATCTCCTCGAAAAGCCGAAACTCCTCCTCCGTTAGGTTCAGCACTAAGGTATCCGTTTCAATGTTAATATCGGTTAAAAGCAATGTGCAGTTCTCTTCGATGAGATTGGGCTAAGGCATAACATAGCTTAACTTTGAATGACGGCTATTCTGTGGTCGTTTACCTGAAACTCGCTACGGCATAGCGGACAACGATAGTCGGCGCTCAGTTGCAGGAATCGTTGGAAACACTCGGTGCAAAATGAATGGCCACATGGGATCCAGTGCGGACTGCGCTGCTCATCCAAACAGAATATGCACGTGTTTGAGCTCATTGCCTTGGTTTCTATAGCTAGCCTTTTCGTTTTTTCGTTTCAAATAGATTTTTACAAAATTACAAAATATATGTCGACAGTACAAAAGTAAATAAATACTAAACATAAAAGCGCCTAAAACGTCGCAACACTGTCGAATTAAAAAGCAATGCCAGCTTTGATAAACAAATATTTGATGAGACCTGCAGCTTCCTTAAAATATCCTCAAATCAACCCTATTCTAAATACCTACTGAATGTGACTTGTTCGAAAACCTCAGCAAATTTAGAAATGTTATTTTGTAATTTATTTATATTTATCAAAGAAGTTGTTTGTTTGCTTAAAACACATTTGAAACTTGACAACTGTGGCATTGAGTGGTGCTCTATTGAAGGAATATCTGTTCCAAGCAATTTAAAATTTCTACTGTTTGCAAATATGAGAGACCGGCGCTATTTATGACAACTCTCAAAATACTAATTTATTCTTTAAAATCTATGTTAATCAATGTAATTCTTTCCGGATGCAATGCACATATGCCACCTCTTTTTTCAATCCTTGAAGCAATCCAAATCATCCTTTTTCGTTTCGACTCGAATCTCCTCAATCGACTCCATCGGGTTTGCTTTGACTCTGACTGTGTTTTGGGAGCAAACGGGATTTGGTATAAAGAATAAAAGGATACTTGTCAGTTTATCATTTAATTGCGATTAATTGTTGGAACACATTTTACGGACATGGAAAGTATCAAAATATTATATCTGCCAGTTGGAGTAAATGGTTTTAAAGCAGCTCTGCAAGTAATGAACACTTAATCGCGGATTTTCTCAAAGTTCTTACTTGCTGTTTTCATTGATTTGGGGAGGAAAGAGCTCGTTGACTTAAATATTGAGCCATCTAGTCTGCCCTAAGATTAAAATTACACGAAAATTACAACACAATATCATAGAAGCTTTCCAGCCATCTTAAACCCAGTTTCAGTGTACCTTCCCATTACAAATTGCGATGCTCCATTACTGTTGGTCGTTCGAAGTGTATTCAACCGATAAGCGGAAATTTTCCAAGTTCACTACTGCAGTCACAGTTGTACCGTTAGCGTTAATGGTGATCACGGAATCTTCATGGTCAACTTCCGGCTGAGACAAGGAATAATACATTACGCCAAAATAATGTTTTAAAAGTTTCGCACGCTTACCGGAATAACCGTGCGGCATATCGGACAACGATTATCGGTGCTCAGGTCCAGAAACTGCTGGAAGCACTCTGTACAAAATGAATGGCCGCATGGCACCCAATACGGATCACGTTTCTCCTCCAAACAGAATATGCAAATATTTTCACCCATTGTCTCAGGAGCTCTTTTTCTCAAAAGTTTCTTAATATTTATTTTATTTTATCTAGTTTTTGCTTTTCGGCTTATGTTACAAGATATTCTTTTGATGAGTTGCTAGTTATGTGACTGCAACAAAAGTAAATATCAAAGCCTACTATAGCACGAGAACTGTATTGAAATAATGCGTTTTTTACACTGATCGAATAACACACATGGTTGCATGGGAAAATATCCTCAATTTTTAGCACTGGTTCCTTCAATGTGTCCGGCCCTGGGCTTTGTTAATGGTCTGCTATTCAAAAAATTAATTGCAGTGTACCTTTCACTGAAAAGTATAAGGATTTTTTCTTCTTCATAATCTCTTAATTTTAGATGTGTATTAAAAAATACGCCAATTATATTGAACAAATATTCATATTCCAACTGTATTTTAAATTGGAACTTATACAGCTTCTGTATCCATAATATGGCTGCATAAAGCTCTAATTTTAACATGAAAATTGAGATCAAGTAAGTCCAATAAATTTGTTGCCTGTCTGTTCAGCGATTCATTTGTCTGTTCTCGATTATACTGCTACCTGCTTTAAAGCTATACACGTTATAAGTATGTTATATTTATCTTTCAAACGATGTGCTCTATAATTTGGGAATGTCCATTGATGACTCTTGACCTAGGAGGGGAATTCTTTTATTATGAGATATATATAGTAAGAGCTTTATCGCTTCGGCTTGTCGCCTATAAATAAAACTGTTAAAGCCTATATCTGTAGCTTTGAGGTTGTAGTGCTTAGTCAGCTTACAGTATGAGAAAATGCATAATTTCATTTAAACTTGCCCGCAATGTGGGAGCAATTTTCAATTTATTTTTCCATCACAAAATGCGACGCTCCTGTTGCCATTGCCATCGTCGTTGTTGTTGTTGTTGTTGTTATTGCCGCGCATTCAAATTGCATTCAAATCAATTACATTCGAACTAAACATAATTCATGTGTATGGGTTAATCCAACAAATTACAACTGACATTTAAACAGAAACATGAAACGAACAATTTAACATGAGAGCGGGCGCAACATAAAGAAAACCGAAAGATACTTTTGTGTGCAGACAAAGGCTGCCAGGCGGACTGCCTGGTGGACTGCCTGGCTGCCTGACCGCCAGCCTGACACTGCCATCATATGCGGCAAAGCGTTTTACAAACGATACAAAAAAAAAAAAAATGAAAACAAAACAAAACAGAAATTCAAAAATAAAGGCGCACACAAAAAATCGCACCGAAAAAGCAACTTTAGCTTCAGTTTCGGCTTCAGCCCGCAAACAATCAAGGCAGAGTGACCTTCAGTGGTTTAAGCTTAAAGTGCTGTGGCCGACCACAAAAAGTGCAGCTCAGTACACAGAGTACGGCAGAAACAACAACAACAACAACAACAAGAACAGCAACAACGCCAGCAAGACACTAAAAAACAACAATAAAATTCTTTTCTCACGATTGTTGACTTTAACACTTACAGCGGCCAGAAATTACGAGGCATATTCACTGTCATTGCCTGCAGAGCCGCAGCGTCGACGCAGCAAATGAACGCGGCGGCATTAAATATTCAAGTTTTGGGACAGCAACAGCAGCAGCAACAACAATATGAACAATAACAACAACAAGAAGAGTAACAGCTACAACCGCCACAGCAAAAATGAGCTACTGTGCAAAGCCTTAAGCTCAAAATTGCAAGCGACAAATTTTAGCCCAGAATCTGAAGTTCTCAGCTGGGGTCTGCACTCTAGGGTTGCAATCAGGAAGCGTAAGCCGAAACTAAAATTTAAATTTCTACTTCGCTGGAACAAATACCGAGGGAGGTTAATGATTTAGCAATGGGCTCAAGAGAGGGGAGAGTTTTAGCGATTTTCAAAATGATAAAAGAAAGGAATTTTGTTGCTGCTTTTTTAGTATGACATTATTTATTAATGTTACATTTAATTTTAAAAATAAGTTGTGATTCGATTTTTGAGCTGTAGAGCTTGTAAAAGTATAATGTTAATGTGTTGAATGCTTGTCCGTCTATCCCATCAAAGGCCATGAATCGGCATAGCTTCTTCAAAGAAGAGTGTTTGAGATGATTTCTTTGAAGTGATTTCTTATTATTATTTATTATTTATTATTTCTCATCTCCTCTGAAAAAGTCATTGTGCGACACTCCAATTAGATTTAATAAAACAAAACAAGTTTTAATTAATCGTAGCTAGTCTGGAATGGTAGGGAGGCACTGCATTTGCCAGCCATTACCTGCCTGCCTATTAATATGACTTAATTCCGAGCTAAGAAGAACAACCATGCACTCGTTGTAATGCATTTGTTATTTAGTTAATGGGCCGGAGATTTTGTAATGATTGCCGATTATACATTATACATAATAGCAATACAAGTGCGTAAGACTGTATTAAGTCGGACTTTCTTTCGCTTCCGTAAAATTGTTGACCACCCCTCGGACGAGTACATTTCAATGGAATTAAGATAAATGTTGCTTGTTCTTCTGTGACGTAGTGGTGGTTGTTGTTGTTGTTGAAATTTCTGCTTAATTTTATGTGCTTTGCATACGTTTTACGTATTTTTGCAATGCGTTACATTAAAAATTTTGCCAGCGTGTTGAGAGACTGAAGCTGAACTCATTTATTTGTACAGTTTTATCGATTTAATGCATTTTGTAGTCGGCGTTCGGTTGGCTTTCGTTTTCGTTGTTGTTTTTGCTGGCCATTAAGTGAAATTTATGTTACTGCAAGTTCGTCGCTTAAGTCTTTTGTTTGCGAGTCGCGCGCCATGGCACGTAAATTGCCGAAAAAGTATTTCCTACTTAGCGTGGGGCCGCAGTTGCCGTTTCCATTGCCTTTGCAGTCGCTGCGTGGGCAACAGCAACCACCCCGCAACCCCCTCCTGCTGCAAACAGACACTCGGCTCACCCCACCGCTCATGCCTCACTTATGTCAATTTGAATTTAAGTCGCTTGTGTGTGTGTGTGTCTGTGTGTGAGCTTGAACAGCTATCCTGCGGCCGCGCTGCTGACATCGGTGGCAGCTCATTTTAATCCGGCGTGTTGGTGGCGTGCATACATAATGCATAATTACCGGTTTCACTTTTTTGCCTGTTTTTCTTGCAATGATTACCAGCGTGGCATACCTTGGCGTTTTATTTTTCAAGCCGTGCGGTTTTTATTATCTGCTGGACATAGCTGTTGTTACTGGCATTGTTACTGGTTGTTGGTTGCTGGTTGAGATGGCAGCAGCGGCAGCGGCAGCACTTCGTATGGTTTCTTAATTTTTAATTTTTATGATGTGTTAATGGATATTTTTGTGACATGACCTCCTGGCGTGCCGCGTTGTGTGCACTGCTGGTCTGGCTGAGCGCACGTCAAGCCGCAGAGACGCCTCCATGGCTGCATCGCTCTGCGGCTTCTCCAGAGGTTTTATTAAAGTGCCGCCATTTTGCTGCATTGCGTGCGCACCGATGATGGCGATGATGATGATGATGATGATGACGATGCACCGCTCCGACCTGCCACAAAATAGAGAAATCAACGCTCAATGACCGCCCTAAACACATTACGCAACTTCATGTGAATCGGCTCTGTAATTGAAGCTATTTAAAGCTTGTTACCCGGCAAGGACGAAACGGTCCCAGCCACAATCAGAGTCAGAGTCGAGGCACAAGGCTATGTGCATCAGACTGCCAATCAACTGGATGTTCAGAAAATGAGGGAACAGGAAAACAAAGCTCTTAAACAGGTATACTGGCAATCAACAATACAGGCTCTGTATTTAGATGCGGACACAATAATAACTAAATTAGCTATTCAATTAAATAAAAGACCGTATTTAATTCATTCTTTTATTAAGGGAAAATAGTAAGAAGAATACAAAGTTGTCAGAAGGAGCCGTGGCAGACCCCACAAAGTGTATATATTCCTGGTCAGCATGACAAGACGAATTGATCTAGTCCGTCTGTCCGTATGATCACCTATATCCCAGTTACTATAGAAGCTAGAGACACCAAATGTTTAAATGTGTATTTCAAAGTTTATCTTCCCCCTCCCACTTCCACGCAATTAATGATTTTGATTCTGGAATTTTTCAATCAAATTTGCCAAATCAGAATGTCCAATTTGAAAAAAATGTTGTTCTTACAATTAATTTTTTTTAATTTAAAAAAAATATATTTAATTATTCTACACATACATTGGTACAAAGTATTTCAAAGTATTTTCTTTATTGGAACGGCTTGAGTTCGTTGGCTTCCCTATTTTATACAATATACTGAAGAGATGAGCTTCCCAACAACCCACAGCTTTCAGCAGCATTATCTCCGATCTTAGAACCATGTATTCTTTAATCTTTTACTTATCACATTCACCCGTGAATGAAAGGAAAAACTTAAACAAAATAAATACAAGTTCATAGGAAGAACCTCCACAAATGCAGCGCAATTGTTGAATCTATTGGTTAAGCATTAGTTCCAATCTTCAATAAAGAACCTGTCGCTAGATGGCTCTTCAACCAATCTCGTGAGAAGGCCCTGGTTTTCTAGGGGGCGTCTGAAGACAATTAATTGCCAATTCATCAAAGTTAAAAGCTTGTATACTCACTAAAATATGCAAAGCCAGCAGGGTTGGAGCCGACATCAAACTGACCCAGTTGGCTATCAAGATGCATTTTGAGTTTTTTTTTTTTTTTTTTTTTTTTTTTGGCACATCGGCATTTGCACCGAAATGTGTTTTATTTTGCCTCTTTTAGATAAAAGCCCTGGCCTCGCCAGAGTTGTCGCTCAAATTACACGCACTGGTTACTGTCCGGCCGTTGAGGTTGATTACAGACCCAGAGCAACAATTTGCATCAATAAAGCTGCGCCCATGCATGCTGCTTCTGCTGTAGGTCAGCTCTGAGAGCCTTCTTTGCGGCGCTTGTTGGCAGCTCGTCTTGCGGCAATGTGCCGCTGCTGATTTGTTGTCCGCTTCTGCATTT